TTCTCTTTCACCCTGAAGTTGGCTAGAGCATAATCTCCTTGTCCAAATACCGATGCTATGCCTTTATGGGCCGCATCTCCTAGACAAGATCCAACTTCAGCACCAATTCCAGGTGCGTATGGGACCAATGATCCCAAATAACGACCTGCTCTTGATCCTAGAGTCGCTTGAGCTCTTCTAGGGGCAACTCTTGCCCTCTTCGCTGGAGCACGACGAGGGACCATACCAAGCTTAGCTTTAACAGCACGCTTTTGAGCGGCTGAGAGTGCCATATATTGTGCCTTCGGTAACATTTTCTATATGCGTTAGATTTTATAAAAATAAAATCTTTTTCAACAAATATAGAAAATGGAACGCGTAACGAAAGTTAAGACTGTCACAAAAGGAAAAGACACAGGACCCGCAAGAAACTATTGTTTCACAACCTATCTCGAATACGAGCTAGAAGTCACAACCATGAAGGCTATGAAAGACATGAAATACATGATATGTGGACTAGAGGTATGTCCCAAAACAGGACAAGTCCACTTCCAGGGGTACCTAGAACTCAAAAAACCGCTCAGAATCGCTGCTCTAAAGAAGCTGGGTATAAAAACTACCCATTTTGAAAAACGCAGAGGTACTCAAGAACAAGCTATCGACTACTGCAAAAAAGACGGCAAGTTCCAAGAGTCAGGTACCCTGACCACGGAACAAGGAAAGCGAAACGACTTAGGTGCCGTTAAGAAGCTACTAGATGAGGGTAAACCACTACAAGAGATAGCTCAAATGAACGAAAACTTTGGTACTTTCATCAAGTACCAAAGAGGTCTCAAAGAATATGAGAAAATCGTTCAAAAACCCAGAAGGACTGAAGTCCCTGAAGTCTGGGTTTATTACGGTGAACCCGGGGCTGGTAAAACCACCAAAGCTCTAAAGGACATTGGTCATGATGATCCCACTATCTTGTCTGAACCAACCAACAAAACTGTTTGGTGGGACAAGGATAAGACAACTGAGTATGTCATTATCGAAGAGTTTGAAGGGTGGATTCCATGGAATACCCTCAAAGTGTGGTTGGACAAGACCAACGTCAATGTAGAGTACAAGGGTGACGTAAAGCCACTCCTTGCTAAGAGGTTCATAATCACCTCTAACCTACATCCCTCTGATTGGTATCCTAAAGTACTACATCAGAAGGCACTGATCCGAAGACTCACAAAGTGCGTAAAATTCGTCGAAGGAGACTTCGACTCGAATTTCTTCGAGACCAAACTTTCTGTAACGAAAGATGGCACCGTAACAGAGGTACCTGTGTCACAAAACTAGAAACAGTTTTTAAGGGGCCTCTTCAGATCACCCTCGCAGGGCTCGGGTGCCCCTCGAAACTCGCCTCCGGCTCGTTTCTCGGGCTTCCGTCCACAAATGTACGACAAGCGTAACGTGTAACGGAAGTCTGAAGGTAATACTAGGCCCCTATATTTCAAAAATTTTTTATTTTTATACTTTGAATTTTTTTCAAAATTTAACCAAGTTTGGCAAAGTAGCCGAACACCTCGGTAAGGTGTCGGTCATGCGGTGCCTCCTCGGCTCCCCTACTCCGCTGACCGCTCCTCGACGGGGCTCGTCGCTAGCTCCGTTGAGGGGAGCCTGCGGGGGCTCCTCTTCCACGCCACCACCACCACTTTCGGGGGGAGTGCCGGGAAGAAGATCTGTTGAACAGATCGGCCAGCAAGCTGGCCTCATTTTTATTGTTGTTTATCACTTGACGTGAACAAAAAGAAAGAAAAGTGTCATTATGGGGTACACTAACGAGCCTCTAACGGGACATAATGACTATATACCTATTACCTTTACCACAGGTACTAGGACTGGACCTACGACTGGTACGGATGATACCACCTGAGTCATAGGAGTAGGATTGCTAGGTTTACTAGCCTGAGAGATACCTCCAGTAGTAGGTCCTCTTTCCTAAGCGAACAGTCCATTGACTTGTTCGATGATAAGATCACCACCGGATACACCAGTAGGGAATGTTCCTCCAGAGATCGTCACAACAGCAGAAGGACCATTAATGGTCACATACTGAATAAGACAGAAATATCCAGTATTCTGTGGGCTCAAGAATGTAGCTGAGCTAGTTGCTGAACCATGGAAAACACTGGGTCCAAGAGAACAATTTGATGTTGCTGTAATTGATGGTGTGGAGGTAGAACCTGCAGCACCAGTCACAAAGTATGTTACACGATAAACTCCCGTAACAATTGCTTGTGGGAAGGTTAAGGTTGTAGCACCAACAACCATAGCCATATTATTAAAATATGTAAAACTGGGTGGGAAATAGTTGCTTGTACTAGAAGTACTAGCAAGAGCAGTATGAAATGTATTAATTTCATACCCATATTGTCCCTGTGTCAACTTTGGTTTGAACAACTCAATGTCATAAGTACACCAAAGTTCACCCTGATTTTGGCCTCCAGTTGCCATGCCCTGGGTGGCTATAGAAAATTGACCCCAATCGTACAATCTAGCGTCTTGTCCAG